TCGCCCCCCTTTGCTTCTCCTCCTCCCTCTCCCTCCCCCTCCCTCCCCCTGCTCCTGCCCCGCCTCCTCTTCCTCGTCTCCATCACCATCCAAACCAGCCTCTTCCACTCTCCTCACACGCCCTCCTCCTCCCCTATCGCCCCTGTTCTCCCGCTCCCGCTCCTCCTCCTCCTCCTCCTCCTCCTCCTCCTCCTCCTCCGCCTCTTCCTTGTCGCGCCACTCCTCCCCAGAACCCGTGGCCACCTCGCCCGACGCGCCCCTCCCGCCACGCCCGATTTCGGCGCGCCCGACCGTGGCCCTGCCCGCGTTCGCCAGCAGCTGGGCCTCGTCCTCGGAGGGCGGCGCTGCTGCTCGTCCCACGCGCGCTTGCCTCGTGGCTCCTCGTCGTCGTCGTCCTCTTCCTCCTCCTCCTCCTCCTCCTTCTCCTCCTCCTCCCTCCTCCTCCTCCACACCTCCTTCCTTTCCTTTCCTCCTCTTCCTCAGATTCCTCCTCCTCCTCTTCCTCCTCCTCCTCCTCCTCCTCCACCTCCTTTTCTTCCTCCTCCTCCTCCTCCTCCTCCAACTCCCCCCCCCTTCCCGAAGGGGAACGCCGCGCCCGACTGACGTTAGGCTCGGGCGACCGCCGGTCGGAGCGTTCGGCAGAGACCGGGCGAACGACACGGCGCGCGGGGTCGGGCCCGCCAGCTTCCGGGCGACGCAGCGGGGCGAACTGCGCCGTCTTCGCCTTGCGCGTCGCACGGGCGGGGCCATCTCCCTCGGTGCCCCCCCGGTGGCCCAGGAAGGCGCCCGCAAAGCGCTCCGTGGTTACAATCGTGGCAGCAGGCTCCGCCTCCTCGTGCTCCTGGCGGTGGAGTGTTCGGTCCCGTGGGCTGCGGAGGCATACTCTGAGCAACTTTCCTCATCTGGGCATGCTTGTTGGTCTCTATGGTTCAGGGCTTTCGAAACCCATACCTGAGCTCTGCCGTGCTGACTGGAGGGCGGCTGTGTATGTCGGGTATCTTAAACTTCTGTGCGCGGTCCATGAGCCTGTCCCGAGGTGGCTCCCTCAGATCTCCCGAACTCGGGATTTTAGTGAATCAGTGACACCAGTGAGCTCATCAGCTGCCCATCTCTGGTATGTGATAAAGAGGTGCGAGCGTAGTGCGGGCCGTCGGGGCCCCAGCGTGCCAACAACTGTCCTGCAACAAGCAATGTACTGGCACTCTCCGTGACCTTTCCGGCTCGTTTTCTCCGGACATCACCAGTCAAAACTCACGCTGCAGATCATGGTCTAGACGGACATAATCAACTCCACAAAGCAGTGAATGACGAGGCGGGCTGCTCGGCCAAACAAGGTGCGTGGGAACCACCCACAAACGTCGCATGCCGAGCTCGTTGTTTTGATGCAGCAGACTTCCTGCCCAAATGGTCCAGGCTGGACTTCGATTCTGGCTGTCCTGCTGTTGGCATTCGGAGGCGGTCAAACGCTGCCAGCAAATCATCGCGTGGTTGTCCGATGTTCCGCTCTTTTGGAAAGTGCCAGCGCTGCCTGACCTCGATCAGGAAGGAGCAACTGCCTTCTTTTCAAGGCTGTTCGGGTGTTCTCCCCGAGCGGGCTCTCTCGATCAGCTTAATATCCTACGCTCTGCGTCGTCAGTTGCAGTGGCGGTATTATTCTGGATGCTTGTTCGAAGCATCGGGCATGCGCGACTGGTGGCCAAGTTGGGAATCAACCTTGGACCTGCCCCAGGACCCCTCAGCTGAATGTTGCAAACTCAACCTTGAAGAACATTTCCGTTGGTAATGTCTACAAAACGGTTTAAATATAGTTGGGAGAGACAGTTTGAAAAATGGTTGTCCCCAGCGCTGTAGTGCGCCCGTAGAAGACAAAAGGAAAGCGGGGCAAACTGGACCGCTGGAGACGCCGCCGCGATCGCCCTGGCGCCCTGCGTGCAGGGGCAAATTCCTGCGCACCCCCCCCCCTCGGCGCCAGGCCACGCCTGCCACGCCCTGCGACCCCAGCGTGGATAGAGACTGCGCTCAGGGACCACTCCCTGCGCACCGCGCGCCCTGTCTGGGTTGCGAAGCGGCACTGAATGCGCAAGTGCGGCATGCCGCTGGTAGATTTGATACAACGTGGGCGATGTTTAACTCCAAAACCCAATTGCGAAAACCCAATGTAAAATTCATTATCTGATCAGAAGGCGGGAACATCCCAATGTGGATATACGACACTGGATGCAAACATGCCAAACGCCAGCGCGCGCGCGGCGGCGGCATGCCGCTGATAGATTTATATGCAACGGGACGAAGTTTCGCGCGCGCGCGGCGGCGGCATGCCGCTGATAGATTTTATACAACGGGACGAAATTTGATCCCCCCCCCCCCAACGGCGAAAAAACAATGAAACAAATCATTCTATGATCGGAAAACGGGAACACCACCATGTGGACATACGACGCTGAATGCAAAACTGCCAATTGCCAAGGAGCGCGCGCGCGGCGGCGGCATGCCGCTGATAGATTTGATACAACGGGGGCGATGTTGCACTCCAAAACCCAATGGCAAAAAAAAAAAAAAAAAAAAAAAAAAAAAACACGTAAACATGCATTCTCTGATCGGGAGACGGGGACATCCCCATGTGGATATGCGACACTGGATGCACGAATACCAATCGCCAACGCGCGCGCGGCGGCGGCATGCCACTGATAGTTTTCTATACAACGGGAGCCATGTTGAACTCCCAAACCCGAAGGCGGAAGCCCAATGTAAAAATCCATTTCTGATCGGAAGACGGGAACATCCTCATGTGGATACCCCTGACTTCGCGAGAAAAGGGAGGGGGTTCTGGACCCTCCAAGATAAGCCATTTCAGACCCCCCCCCGTGGGAGAACCCTCCAAAACATCGTCCCCAACCCCCCCCCCCCCAGGCCCTCCAAGATCGCCTGGAAGAGACCCCCCCCGAAATGACCCCCCCCCCTCTATAACGAAATCTGGAACATGCGGCGCTGAATGCGCAAATGCCAATCGCAAACGAGCGGGCGCGCGCGCGCGTGCGCGCGGCGGCGGCATGCCGCTGATAGATTTTACACAACGGGAGCGACGTTGCACTCCAAAACCCAATGGTTAAAACACATTGTAAAAATTCACCCTGATCGGAAGACGGGAGCATGCCCATGTGGACAAACGGCACTGGATGCAAAACTGCCTTGCGCGCGGCGGCGGCATGCCGATGGCAGACTTTATACAACGGGAGCCATGTTGAACTCCAAAACCCAAGTGGCAGAAACCAAATGCAGCAATTCATTATCTGATCGGAAGACGGGGACATCCTCGCGTGGGATATGCGACACTGAATGCAAAACACAATGCCAATCGCCAGCGCGAACGCGCGCGCGCGCGGCGGCATGCCGCTGGCAGGTTTTAGGCAACGGGCGCGAGGTTGAACTCCCAAATCCAATTGCGAAAACCCAATGTAAAAACCCATTCTCTGATCGGAAAACGGAACATCCTCATGTGGATATGCGGCACTGAAAACAAACATGCCCAGCGCCAGCGCGCGCGCGCGGCGCGGCGTGCCGCTGAGAGATTTTATGCAGCGGGGCGAAAACTCGCGCTCGCGCGGCGGCGGCGCGCCGCTGATATTTTTACCCAACGGGACGAAATTTGATCTCCCAAGCCCAATGGCGAAAACCCAATGTAAGAATTCATTCTCTCATCGGAAGACGGGAACATCCTCATGCGGATATACGGCACGGAGTGCAAAAATGCCAGCGCGTGCGCGCGCGCGGCGGCGGCATGCCGCTGATAGATTTTATGCAACGGGAGCGATGTTGCACTCCAGGATCCAATTGCGAAAAACCATGGTAAAACATATTTTCTGGTCGGAAGACGGGAACATCCCCATGTGGACATTCGACACTGAATACAAACATGCCAATCGCCAGCGCGCGCGCGGCGGCGGCATGCCGCTGATAGATTTGATAAAATGGGAGCGCTGTTGAAATTCAAGACCCAATGGCAAAAAAAACACCCAATGCAAAAAAACATTCCCTGATCGGAAGACGGGGACATCCCCATTTGGAAATGCGACACTGCGTGCACGAATGCCAATCCCCAGCGCGCGCGGCGGCGGCATGCCGCTGATAGGTTTGTTATACAACGGGAGCCATGTTGAGCTCCAAAACCCAATGGCGAAAACCCAATGTAAAAATCATTCCCTGATCGGAAGATGGGAACATCCCCGTGTGGATGTGCGACACAAAATGCACAAATGTCAATCGCCAGCGCGCGCGCGTGCGGCGGCGGCATGCCGCTGATATGTTTTAGACAACGCGAGCGAAGTTGAACTCCCAAATCCAATGGCGAAACAGCCCAATGTAAAAAATCATTCTCTGATTGGAAGACGGGAACATCCCCATGTGGATATACGGCGCTGCGTGCACAAATGCCAATTGCCAACGCGTGCGCGCGCGCGCGGCGGCATACCGCTGATAGATGTTATACCGCGGGGGCAGTGTTAAACTCCTACACCCAATGGCGATAACCCAATATATATATTTAAAAAGAAGAAAACATTCTCTGATCGGAAGACGGGAACATCCCCATCGGCATTCTCCCTGGTACCGAAGTGTATACAAGTGGCATCGATCGGCATCCATGGATTTTTCCTAGGGGGGACAGATAAAACATAGTTTTTCGGATGCGAATTAATGGCAGTCGGGATCCGGGGGGGCGGCGCGCAATCGTTTCAATATTTTCAAGATTGACACGTATTCCCATCATCAACGTACCAGAATTGGTGCTTTGGAAAGATTCAGGACTATGCGGTCGCAACGATTACGTTGATTCTCTGTGTTGGAGTGCTCGGAATGGCGTTCTGGCGCGATTCAGGATCGTCAAGACGCAACAGTCAGGTTGATCCGTGGCGTTGGAACCTTGAGGACACTGCTTTAGCATGATTCAGGGTCTTCAAACGGGTGTCTTCCAACGAGGCAGCTCCATCAATGGAAATGAAACG